CCCCCCCCCCCCGCGCTTTTCGCCGCGATCGAAAGGGAGATGACGCACACTACAGCAGTAGAGTACTTTTGTCTCATGTCATGTGGAGACTTGGATGGCTTGGTTGTCGTGTGTGGTGATAAGGGTGTGTAGCGTGTAGCCAGCGCACACACACCACGTTAATCAGCCGCTTGCCAAACGTATGAACGGCCTGCACTGTCAAGAAATCAGGGCGTGATTGGTGGATCCGTGATAGATGTCGGAGGCGTGATCATGTGCCCTCGCTATCGCTGCACGCAGTCCGTCCCGAGGGCGCGCCTCACGCCGGGAGAGCCCTCGCAACACAGGGCTATCGGCAGGTGCAAGTCTCGCTTCGAGGCGAGGTCCACGGGCGGAGAAACCGCCAAAAATGGGCTCTAGGTTCACGAGAACATCAGGATTGCATTTCCTGCAACCTCGTGAGCCCTCAGCCCGCAGGAAATCCGGCTATATGTCATGTATGTCTGTATGTCTATTTGTCTGTCTGTCTGTCTGTCTTGCCTGTCTGTTTGTCTGTTTGTCTTGTGTCTCTCTCCATTCTTCCATCTCTCCCTCCCTCCCTCCCTCCCTCTTGCTCTATCTCACGAGTGGCTCAAATACCTCCCCGTCCCCGCTATCCCCGTTCTTTGTTCCGCCGGTCAGGTCAACATCGGGGACGACATGCGGAAGAATTGTGTAGCCAAGCGAGCCAGAGACGTGGAGCTAGCGAGGGCATCTTTAGACACCTTCACCCCGGTGGTCTTGGAGCTTTTGTCTCGTGAGTCCCTCCTTGGTTTCTCATTGGCCCCTCCATACCTATTGTCTTGACCTAAGTTGAGGTTCGTTTCTGGTTGATCCGTCCCTGTTGTCTTTTGACCTGACCTCCCCCCACACCATCTCCTAATACCATGAGTACGACTTCCTTGTCGTGCTGGCCCGGAACGTGGATTGACAGCGGGGTGAATACTACTGCATTATTGTCAACATGTTTTAGGTTTGTGATTGGTATTGTCATTTGCTCTTGTGTTCGAGTTTGTAATATGGTGCTTATGAACGAGGCGTTTGTCACGCGTTGGTTCCAAAAGAAATAATAAGGCGTTTCGACCTGGGACAGAAGTCTCTCAACACCGGCGTGCTCACCACGGGTATCCAGGGCTCTTTGTGGAACACATGGATTTGTTGTGTTTTTGCAAAGAACAAAGAAAACACGCGAGAAAGGTGACAAATGTCAAACAACACCGGCGTGTGCTCAAAAGCAAGTATCCCATACAAATCAACCGCTCTTTTTTTCTTTTGGTCCCGACAGTAATGGTTCACTCTTCCCTCCCGGAGTTCCGGGGCTCCGCACACTACGCCACTATCAAAGCCTGCCTGTACATGGGCCCCCGCGAAATCCGGAATAGCGGCGCCACCAGCAGCCTCACCCACGAGGACGAGTGGGGGACGGACGAAGACGAGGACGACTCCTTCGAGCGGGAAGACTTTTGAGGGTCACGGCCCTTGTGCTTGGTTCGTCCGCGCAGCAGTAGCAGCGGCTTGGGGGGGGGCTGGGATGAGGTGTTGCGTGAAGCTGATCATAGCCTTCTTGCGGGAATGGATCAGTGACGGTGGTCCGCAGAAAGGTTCGATGCGTCGGGGTGGGGGGGATTGGCGCGGAGATGAAATATTTCTTCATTTGTTTTTTGTGGGTGCGTGACGTCGATATATATTTTTCTCTTTTTGCTGTTGATGTTTATGTTTTGTTTGGGATGCCTCATGGTTTCCCTGGTATTTATTTATTTCTGTTTTGATTGATTTCTTTTTTGTATGTGTTAGCTCTCTACTGTTTACAGGGCGGGTGTTTTCGTTTTGTGTTTGTGTCATGTGGCGGTCGACGGTGCCAAGACTGCTTGTCGTAGCTGCGCCTGCCTTCTTTATTTCTTCCCGGGGTATTCCTCGCCGTCCCGGCCGTAGGCGTTCAAATCCAATTCGCACCGACAAGGAAGAGGCAACAAGCACGGGGCGCGAGGCGCGGGTGACGGAGTTGATGCTTGCGGCGTGTTCGAACGGGGGGTTGGCGCGTGCGTTAAAGTAATGACGGACCGGGTTTGCGTTGTGTGTTTTGGCCGGGGTGGGTATCTTGGATTCTTTTGCTTGTCGTTTTCCTCTGAAGATTGAAAACGAAGCGCCCCCCGCGTGCCTCCGGAGTGGGGGGCGGGGGTCATGATACGGGAATGTAAAGCACTTGTGGAGTAATCGTACAGCTGGTGATCTACAGGCTGGCTGTAGTGTCACCGGGAGTGCCGGCATGCACTTGTGGTTTGTGGAGCAAAGAGGTGGGAGTGCCGGTGTACACGTATCTTTCGGCGGGGGGGCGATTGCATGCTGTACAGCAGTTTACGGGGATATATTGGGAATTGGGGGGGGGGGGGGGGGGGGGGGGGGGGGGGGGGGGGGGGGGGGGGGGGGGGGGGGGCGCTAGAGCGAGGCTCGATGGGTTGTCCTCGCGCGCACGTTCGTATAATTAATATTGCCACGCACATTAGGTTGGCAACCATATGTATCGTGCAGGAGGTTAAGGTTAGTGGAAGAAGCAACATTAACGGTTTTTAAGCAGGCAGCTAGCTCCACGAGATTTCGAGTAGGGAAAATGAAGAGGCCGCTAGAGAAAAAATAAAACACAGAGAGAGAGAGAGAGAGAGAAAGAGAGAGAGAGGCGCAGGGACACGCTGTGGAGGAACGTTCAGTTAGGTCGTACGGTGGAAGAAGTGTTTTTTTTTTTTATTGCGTGCGTTTTTTTTTTGGGAAATACGACCGTCTTCAAGGGTGTGTTTTCAGACGTCCGGTTGGAGGCCATGTTGTAGGACCACGTCATGACAACAGGAACCGGCTTTGTTTTTTTGTCCCCAGTGTCTGGATGCTGGTTCGATGTGGCGAAAGGTCATGGTCAGTTTTTTTTTCTTGGCTCCGGTGTCGACACACGGGTTTCGAAGGAGTTCGGTGAGGCCGCTCCACAGGCATTTGCGTGCGTGTGCTGCTGGACCTTTTGGTGGATTTGTTCCCATCCGTCCTACGCTATTTTTTACCTGGAGAGTTTTGACGAAGGCCTCGGGCTCTTAGCAGTTTAGGTACGGGAGGGCGTTTGTATTTTATGTTGTACTATTTTTTGTATCTTACGGTTTCAAGAGTATCCTTGAGTGCAGTGTTCAGTTCGATTTTTGGATGGTTTTTTTCCACGGGGGAAAGGCTCTTTGTGTTTTGCCCAAGATTAACCGTGTTGGGTACGGTTTTAAAGCTGCCTCGCCGTTCTGTCTTTTTGTTCGGGTGCCTCTTGAGCCTCTCTGTGCTGCTGCTGCTGCTGCTGCGGCTTCCCGCACGCCGGTGTCCCCTGGATCGTGGTGTCTCCTCGTGTCGTTTTTTTTTTTTTAACGTTCGTTATGTCTTTTTTGAGTCTTTTGACCAACAGAGCCAATCCTGTGGGGGGTAGCAGTCCTCTTTGTAGTTGTCCATATTGTTCACTGTACCTTTTAGGGAGCCTCCCCCTCATGGAATCATCGAGCCTGTTGATCTTCATGTAGGGTAAACAATATAGCTCGGCGGAATGCTGCTACTCTCGAGGTCCACGAAATCGGCTCGCTCGGATCGAGCCCGATATATTCCCCTGTTGTGAATAGTGCCGGTGGAACCTGCTGGCTCATACCGGCACTATATCGGGACCTCGACGGGAATGGGTTCTCCTTTATTTTTTTGGCCATCAACGACATCGTCGTGTTTGGACCGCATGCCGTTGTTGTCGTCGTTTTTTAACCGAATTTCTCACGCCATGTCGTTGTTGTCGTTGTCGTTGTCGTTGTCGTTGTCGTTTTTCCTTCGTCGCTGTGCGACACAGGCGTTGTTGCCTTTGTGCCGTTGCCTGTGTGCCTGTGTGCTTCTTTAGTAAGTGGCGTCGGCCTTCCCGTACGGGAGAGAAAGTACCCGAAGCGATCGATGGCCCGTATGTGTGGTTTGGGCTGTTTGTTCCCCCCCCCCGCTTGCGCATCATCTTCACCTCCCCGTCTGTGCTGGATGGGCATCGTATGCGTGGCAGGCGGGGCGTGCATGAACAGTTGCCCCCCCTGCGACAGAGCAGCAGCACCAGTGCTTGTTTTCGATGTCGTCGATGTATCGCTGCAAGCCGACGTTTGGTCGTCGAGTTTCAGTGCAGTGTCATGGCGTGAAAAATGTAGAACCAATCGCATTCGCGACTCGCTTTGTGTGCAAGAAGAGACGCAAAAATAGCAAGTGTTTTTTCGACATTTGAGGCACGCTGCCTTTCTGTGCGTTGTCTTCTCTTGTCTCTCGCTCCTGTTTGCTAGTGGCACCGCGTGGGTGAAACCAACGGTTCTTCAAGTTTGGCGTCCTTTCGCTCGATAAAGGTATTCCCTTTAGATTTAACGTATCACAAACACCAGCGATTGAGGATCGATAAGTACGTTGGGAGTTCCTAGGAATAAATAACGTGTTTTTTGTTGGGGGGGAGGCGAGGGGGGCTTCCTTCCGTCTTCCAAGTGAACAAAGGTGCTGTTTTATCGATTTTGCTCGTTTTGTTTTAGGGCAGGGGGTGGGACACCAAACCACGGTAACTTTTTTGGTTTGAGATTCCTATCTTTCGTCGAAGAGGGAAGGGATTGGAGATACGTCTCCCGGTGGTCATTTGCGCCTGCTTTTTTTGTTCCGGGGGAGGGGGGGTGGGGTACTTTCCAGAGTTTTTTGTCTCTCGTTCGTCGGGGATCAGCGGCACCATTTTACTCTTGACAGTTACGCATTTCGGATCGGATGAATCTTGCATGTTGTACGCGGAACCATCATATGTGTGTGTTGCGTACAACAGCATGAGAGATGAAGCCTACCTCGCATATCTTGCATTTCGTAATCGTGGTGTCGTGTAGACATCCCCCCCCCCCCTCCTTTGTCCTTGTCATGTTTATGCTTGTGCGCTTGAGCCTGCCACTCTTGCCGGTAACCTGCTTCTTCAGGCTGAAGACAGGGACGTGGTACGTACGTATGTTGTGACTTACCACTTGCGATGGTCGCCGGGGACATCGTGGGCGATAGTGCCGTGCTGCAGTTTTGTGTTGTCGTATTTGGTGTTAATGGGCTACTACAGTACTGTGAAATCGTCCTGGCTTGTTGCTGCGATTAGGAATATATTTGTTTGTAACTCCGCGAGGAATGAACGTCCCGCCCCGGGGGGTCAGTTACCGCGCGAAGAGAAAATAAAAGTTTTTCCCTGGAGAATAAGTTTGCATGGTGGCTTACACCTTTACAAGTTTTATTAATAGGTACCATATAAAGGAAGGGTGGTTTGCATATATATATATATATATCATCGCAGGGACCGCTAGAGTAGGCCCGGTTGCCGTTGGCTGTTTGTTTACAACGTGCTGGTATGGCGGAGCGATAAGCGTGTTTTGTTGTCCCATGTTGTGAGTCAACACGGGACAAGGTAGGAGTATGCAGGCAGAAATCATTTTCGCTTTTTGTGGCCGTGTGTACCGGACTGGGCGAAGCATTTTTATCTTCGAACCTTCGTATTCTACGGGTTCGGCATGCCTGTTCCCAAGCTTGAGACTCGATATACGAACCACCCTGTGGGTAAAAATAACTCATGATGGTTTTCCCGGTGAAGCAAGGGAGCCCCGGAGTCCATGCGCGTTTGGGGAAACGAAATTCGGTCCCGTACGATTTCACATTCCTCAGAGTAAAATTGTGTCGTCGTCTTGAAGTCTCCCTGAGAACAGGCACGACACGATGGCCGCTACGGCACCCCCACCAGAACCTACCTCTCGTGGGCTCCCTGCCTGCCCAAAAAAAAAATCGATAAGCCAAAATAAATGAGACTTGAGTTGAGGCCGGGGCTATTATAACATGCATAGCAACAATCACTGATGATTTGACTGCTCACCGTTGTGGGGGGAGGGGCGCCGCAAATGTTGGTGTTTCATCACCGGGCACAACGCGGTCTTCATCGCTGAGTGAGGAAGACGCGGTGGATGGGGTTTCATACCAACGCCGCAGGAGCGTTTTCTTGTGAACTTCACTCCAATGAGGCGGGGGTGGGTCTACCTTATGGCACTTTCGCTGGCGAGGGGATCGGAAGTGGAAAAGAGTCGGGGCATGCGAACCCCCACCACTTGAACTTTCATAGAAGATTCCGAAATCAAAACATTAGACTAGTCAGCGCTAACTACTTCAAAGTCTTGGCTTGATTCCGATTCTACTAAAAGCTCTAGGATCTGGGATTTCCATCAAACGGCGTGAGTGATTGGTCGTACAGCAGTAGTACTGTTGTAGTACCAGCAGCTTACTAAGGGGTGTCTTGTAAACGGTGCTGTTTTCCAAAGTTTTGGGACGTTTCCAACTTAGGGAACTTTGCGAAGGGAGTTTGAGGGCAAAAACATTGGAAACCTCTCCAATTCGTCCATCCATACTTTTCTGGGTTCTACTCGCTTCCATATATTTTTGTGAAAAAATAGTGAACAACAAATAGATTTTGGAAGCGGCAACTTTGAAAATATCAGCCATTTACAAAACGCGCCAAACTCCTTCACGTGTATGGGCGCGTAACCCGCACTGGAGTGTCGACTGTGCTTTGGATAATCATGCACGTGCATGGATGATACGTTCAGGGGGGCAAAGAAGAAACGGCTCGTTGCACAGGGTGGGGTGCGCTAACAAGGCTTAAACGGACTCAAGCAAGTCGATACGTCCAACAACCTTGATGGGCGTCACCGGCAGCACGCACGGCCACAACTGTGAGAGCAGCGCACACCCATCACAACAGGCATGTATATATCGACCAGCTGGAAACAACTGGCAGGCGCAAAGTGTGTGAAATGTGCAGCGCGTGCGACCACAAGGTCGTGCTGACCACCGCGTGCGTAGACGAGGGGAAAAAAAAAGTTCGGCCTTCCCAAAATCGACCCTTCCATTGCCCCCCCTGTGCCCGCATCTTTGTCAGTTGCTCCAGCATCATCCCTGCTTCGTGTCAACGTCATGATCCACAGCAGTGCTATTTTCCAACGTGTCCCAGTCCACGGCTTCGGCATGTAGCAAGTCTAAGGCGCATCATCATTGGTTACTTCGATCGTTATTCAAAGCAAGTTTCCTAATGAAAGCTGTAAACGTCCGACGTCCAGGAGAAAGGGGACTACCGGACAACAAAAGTTGGCAAACATCCGATGAACAACTCGACTCAGGTGGTGTCTTGCGGCGCCGACCCACACGCCATGCGTGGGTTCGGCCGAACCTCTGCTCTGAAAGCTTTTCTCTTCCTGTCCTGGGGCGAAAATGAGACATCCCCGCCCCCCTGCGCCCCTCTGCGTTAATTGGGCCACGAATAAACAACACCTTGCGGTCAATGGCGACACAAACACCAAAACAGCAGCCGTACGCGAACATTTTAATTACCGAGCCTTCGAACAGCAGGTATTCCAACTGCTGTATGCCCCACCCACCATGATGGATGGTACACAACGCCTCCAAGGTTTCCGAGTCAATTTTTTCCCAATCTCCCTCCCACACACACGAGGGGTTCCAGATCATGACCTGCAAGAAGCATTTAATTGTGTGTTGTCAATCGTACCGAGACTGACGAATTTTCATCGGTCAGCTGATGATCGCGGTCGATGCAAAGCATTAAAACGCGAAAGAGATCACAGATAACGCCGCGAACAACAAGGAACACGAACCCTGAGGCAAAGAATCCATAATCTACCCGGCAGAAGAGGCGACCACAACGATTGGGGAATGGGGATGGGAGCGGGGTCAATACTGCTTGCTGTTTGTCGTTCCTCCATCCCTAACCTTACTCCTTTTACACCAACACGCAAGTACACGAAAGCAACCCCAAACAGCGACAACCCATAGTACGGCCTCCGACATCAGCAGCAACTATGACACCATAAAACGGGTTCGGGAGGAGGACAATACAACCGACGCCACACGTGCGCAGCTGGCAATCGTTCATCGTCACGACAAAACATGCACATCCGATACTACGGCACCTAACGTCCCGGTCTACCGCACCCCTCGTCCCCCCCCACGGCTGTTCCCCCTACCCCCCCGACCTCTGCCTCTCCCTCTGCCCCTCCCTCTCGCCCCGCGGCCACCGCTCTTTGCGCCCCCCCCCGTACCCCACGTCCGCTGCTTCGGGCACGGGGCCCCCGTCGCCCCCTTCCACTTCCCCTTCGCCCCCTGGTTAGACGAGGCCGGGGTACTGCTACCGCTGCCGCCGCCGGCGTGCTTGCCACCGCTGTCGTCGTCGTCGTCGTCGCTGCTAGCGTTAGCAGCAGTGGCGTCCTCCTCCTCCTCCTCCTCGCCAAAAGCGTTTTTTCCCGAGTGTTTTCGGAGCTCCTGGTCGTACTCTTCGCGTGTCAACTTCTTGTTCCTGAGCTTTTTGTACCTGGAGGGGCGGGGGATAGCATGTAATCTAGCTTTCATCTATCTCGGTGCATAAAACCTCGCTGAATAAGTCTTTACCAACTAGAGACACTCCAACAACATACTCGCACTTCCCACTAGCACTCACTTTGCAACCCCTCCTCCCCTTCCCGGGCTCCAACGCAGAAAATAAGCAAAATATACAGTGAAAACAGGACACAAGCCAAAGGTTCACTGAAGACAGGAAACAAACGAAAAGGTACACTGAAAACAAGACGCAAGCAAAAGGTTCACTGAAAACACGAACAAACACACCCGTCGAGCTAGACAAAGTGGTGGGCCCGGTTTAACGACATGCCATGCATAGCGACCATGAATCGCGCGGAAGCACCCCGACTAGACTATTAGCCGTACCCTTCGCACGGTTGTATCGAAGTAAGCATGGTGGATAAAGCATACAAGCTGGGAAGTTGGGTTGGGTTACGGTTAGGGATAGGGTCTGCGTATCCCCTCCCTGTTCTACTTCCTCAAAAACATACTTATCTTGCGAAGGCGGTCCACTAATGGTGGCATTAACAGCGACTTTTCCTCAAAAGCGACCACATTCCTTACCTCACTCCCGCTACTACGGGTCGCTAACCTGGGGCCACCACCGTCCTGTACTACGGACGGCATGCTTGTTGCACTCCTTCTTTCGACGCTTGGGACACTTGGACACACCAACTTCACTCCTTGCCTCACGTATACTCCGTGACACAGCTGTCCCTCTCCATGTGGCACCACCGATTTTTCAGATGGACGCTCCTCAACTCCAGGTACGTGGTTAGAAAGACTGAGATGCGTGTCCGCATGTTACTACGGGAGCTGCCGTATACATGCAGGAGGAACCAACCGAGCACCTCGTTGGCCAGATCATCCCCAATCCTCATATTTTTACACCGACGCAGAAGGAGCCAAGCACTCACAGTCGTTCCTCGTTGGCCAAGTCGTCCCACTCCTCGAGGAGCTGCTGATGCCGCCCCTTGCGTTTCCTCTTGCTGCCCTCTTCCCTACTGGAGGCGATATTCTTTCCACCGCCCGCGGCGATCTCTTTTTCCGCTCGACGGGCCTCTTCCTCCTCCTCGATCGCGCGCTGAAAGAGTAAAAACAAAAAATGTGTTTTCTTGTTGACGTTTTTCGCGTTTTGGTACATTGTTCTTCTCGAGTTGTAGTTTGTGACTTGATTGGAAAGTTCGAAACATGTGGTAAGGTAAATAGTTGGATTGCCGCAGGTATCCCTCCCACTGGCAAGGCGATGACAACGGTACCACCGAAAGAGGCAGAGAGACTTTCTCCCTTCTTTATTAAGTGCTACTATGTACATGACTTGTAAAATGACCACGGGATGACCAACCAAACAAAAAAAAAAGACATCAGACAAAAAATCGTGATGAATGTGATCATTTTTTTTGTCTGCTGCCCCACTCTCTCTCTCTCTCTCGTATTTGTTCTTCCAAACTGAGCTTGCAAGGGAAAAGCTTGTGCTCGCCTTTCGGTACGTTTGTTGCCTCTCTTGTACTGCTCTTCCAAGACTTAACTTATAAAGGGTAACAGCAACGTGCGGTTCGAGAGGCGAACAACTTACAGCAGGTTGCATAAGACACCACACACCCTTGACCATTTTCTAGGACCAACTATTCCGCAGCAAAATCAGCGGTGGTGTCGACACATAGCGGCGTCGGAATCGTCCTGTCGAGGGCTTTCCGAAAATGTATCATCAATTGATGCTGGCAATCATCAATTGATGCTGGCAATCATCAATTGATGTGGCATTCTCCTCGTCGTGGAGCAATCCAGCTTTGACAAGCGGTTCGGGGGTGTGGTGTCTGATGCAACCCATGGTACTCCTGCCACAACTGAAAAAACAACCCGTTGCGAGACGGGTGTCTCATGGTTTTCCCGGTGATGCGAGACTCAAGGATCTTTGTGCGATGTGCGGCGGGGATGGACAATGCGCCTGAGTCCAACCACGCCCAACACACACGCTTTCTCAATGATATCGAGACGGTGACTTCAACCACGCCCAACACTCACGCTTTCTCAATGATATCGAGACGGTGAGTCCAAACACCCCCAACACTTCCGCCTGCTTGCAATGTGTAGCTCGAGCGCGTGAATGTAACATCGCACCTGCTTGTTCTCCTCGTTTTGGCGGACAAGCTTCTTTTGCCGGGCCTTCTCGCGAGCCTTGTCCGCGTACCTGGGGTAAGAGCGTTCGCGTCCGTAATCGTTCGCGTCCGTCATGACAAAACGTTTTTTCTCCCCTTCGCGAGGCCTTAATCGCGTTTTTATGTCCGGGCCTACCGCGACTGTGTAAGTGACCGCCCCCCCCCCCCCCCCCCCCCCCCCCCCCNGCCCCCCCCCCCCCCCCCCCCCCCCGCAGACAGACCACCAAGAGCTCGACTGCCCCACTACCACCAAAGGCCGATAGGCGAGACATTTCCAAAACCATCATTGTGGACACCGGCGGCGTCTTGGCTGTGGACCAATCGAGCTTTGATAGCCGGGGAAAGGATGGTGCCGACACTAGCACAACTACGGTGGCATGTTCTGGAAACAGTCGGGCAGATAGATGCGCCGTCCTCGTTTCCTCTTTGTTGAAGTTCTTGTTGCTCATTGTCAAGGGCGTGTAATGTAAATGTGGTCTGTCTTTTGAAGTTCAATGCTTTGTTCGTGCTCTGTCCTGAGTTGCCTGGATAAGGTAGATATGAAGAAAAAAAAAATGAAGGTAGACATGAATTTGTTTCGTTGTTGACGTGTGAAAAATCATGAAAATCCCTACAGCCTCCTTTCATACCCCTTACTGCTGTACTTTCTCCTACTGTTGTTAGAAAAATCATGAAAATCCCATCTTTCCGAACCTTACTACAATGTACTCATGAGACATCATCCATCGACCTTACTGCTGTACCTTCTCCTACTGTTGTACTGTACCATGGTAAGAAAGAGCAAGAAAAGGCCGTACACTGACTGCCATGCCGATCGAAGCTACGACGCACTTGATTGCCGTGAAGTCAACCGCCTTCTCCTTTTCGAAGCTCTCCGCCACGGCCGGGTCGCTCAGCTCCGCGATCTTGGGCAGCCGCAAGAGGCAGAACGCACGCGCCACGGCGGCCAGGTCGAGGTCGTTGAACCTGTCGTAGTTGTTGTTATTGTTGTTGTTGTTATTGTTGTTGTTGTTGTTATTGTTGTTGTTGTTGTTGTTCTTCTTCTTCTTAATGTTGCTGTTGGTGGTGGCGGCATTGTCTTCATGTTGAAAAGCGTCCCGATCTCTCCCAGTACCTCCATCTGTCCGTACTACCGTATTTGACACAGGATAACACACCCCCTGGACCGATTTTCAAAGCTCGATTACTCCACGTCGAAGAGGATGCATAAACGAAATGATAAATTTTCGAAAAGCTCTCGACGAGACGGTTTCAACGCCGCCGTTTTCGACGCTGTGACTGTTCCTGCAGTTGAGAAATCGAGCTTCGAAAATCGGTCAAGGGTGTGTGTTATCTTGTGTCATATACGGTAGTCTAACCCAACACTTGACGCGGTCGATTCCCGTCGTCATAGGCTAACTTACCTCAAAAAAGGTGTTAACAAAATAAACAAAACTGGAAAAGCAAAAAAAAAAAAAGTGCTTCGATAGACGCACAAAACCTAGACGCATAAAGCCCAGCATCCAGTCGTTTTTTCTACCACTCACTGCAAAGACTTGAACAGATTTCTTCGACTGTGGGAGCGCCGAGCAAAACTACGCCTCCATCCAAAATCGTGTGGACAAAAAGCAAATGATCACTAGTAAGTGCACCAAGCGAACAAAACGAAAAAAAAAAACACGCGACAGAACAACAAATATATATATATAAAAAAAATATGCGCCGCCATGTTTGAGCCAACACTGAATTATTTAAAACTCGTAATAAATACCTGAAGATGAAGCTGCACTGGTGCTCCTTGTAGCCCCTGATGAACGAGATGAAGGCCTTGGTTCCCTTTTCCAGCACATCCTTCATCGTCGTTGTTTGCAACAGACGTCATAAACAATGCACGCTGATCATGTCACCAAAGACATACATGTGCGTGTGTGTTTTTATTCCAAGCATCGACCGCCCTAACCGGCTGACCAATGAAAAGACGTCAGTCTCAGAGCGGTTGAAAACATAAAATGCTTCAAAACGCCACGATCTGGGACCCCGTGACCGGGCGTCATCGGGGAGGCTATGCTACTCTCCGGATTAAGGACAGACACCGCCGTAGCAAGAACAGAGGAAAACTGTATGTGTGTGCAAGTGGTAAATCCATGATAGCGATGCCGTTGACGTACCGGTGGAGAGTGAGACGATCATGTCACCAACGATGAACATACAAGCGGCGACAGCCACAGTATCATTGACGTATCGGTGGCGAGTGTTGACAATGCAAGTTGTTCATGTCACTGAAGGCATTGACGTATCGGTGGAGAGTGTTGACAATGCAAGTTGTTCATGTCACTTAAAGACATACATAAAGCCAGTGATGCCCATGACAGCAATATATCATCGCTGCACCGGTGGAGCGTGTGATAATCATGTCACCAACGAAAAACATACAAGCGATACCATGAAACAAACACCATTGCTGTACCCGTGAAGAGCGCATAATAGAATGTGCTGCGATGCGAGTTAACACCCCAACAAACGTGGTTGTTCCACCAGGGAAGTCAAAAGTACCAGTGGCCAAAATCGGGTGCATCCGGTCCGAAAGCGAACCATAATCGGGTACTGCTGTACCCCTATTTCACGCAATCTGATTGGCCGACGCGCCACCCTACCCGACCCTGACCCTCTGTTTCGGGTGCACCCGATCTTGGCTAGCGTAAGAGGCGGAGAGATGGCACCCCCCTACACTAATCTTTAAAGTCCAATTGCTTGACAAGCAAGCTTGTACCATCACCAATAGTGCTGGTTTTGGAAACATGTCATCGTCGAGGGCTTTTCCGTTGCGTATCTCTTTCAGCAGGGGAGTGCCATCTCTCTGCTGTACTCACCCCTTCCCGCTGGGGTAGGTCCCGTCTTCACTAGAATTTTCCGACGGCGGCGAGCGGAGGCGGACAGGCGGACCCACTCTGCCTGCTGCGGAACTCTGGAGGATGGGTCTCTCCATAGATATATCTCGTCCCTCGAGATTACTCTCGGATCTTGGAGATGGATCTCATTTTAGAGCGCGTCTCTCGAGGTTACTCTCGGATCTTAAAAATGGATTTTTCTCGGAGCTCGTCTCCTTTGAAAGTCTCGGATCTTGAAAAATGACCTCTTGATAATCTCATTACTCTTGTTACCGTAAATGACGCAAGATAACACACCCCCTGGACCGATTTTTCAAATCTCGGTTTCTCAACAACACAAAGAGTCACGGCGCCGAAAACGGCGGCGTTGGAACCGTCTCGTCAATAGCTTTCAAAAAATGTATCATTTCGTTTATGCATCCTCTTCGTCGTGGAGTAATCGAGCGTTGAAAATTGGTCCAGGGGGTGTGTTATCTTGTGTCATATAAGGTATTCATGTCAGCTCTTGCAGATGGACCTGTCTCTAGAGCTCGCCTCTCGAGATAATCTCAGATCTTGATATGGATCTCTCTCTCTACACGTATCTCGTTAATCTCTTGATTAATCTCAGATCTTGAAGATGGATCTCTCTCTAGAGCTCGACTCTCTGATTTATCTCCGAACGTTTGAGTTTCGCCACTTTGCCACCAACAAGCCAGACCAGTGCCATGAAATAAAGAACTGGACCTCGCGAAAGCGTGCTACAATCCCTTACCACGGGGGCTCTCATATTCTTGCGAAGGGTCAGACGAACACCGTCCGCACAGCGGCCCCTCATTTGCAGCGAGCAAGAACAGAGGCCGCCACGTACTGTGCTCTTACGCGGGACACACGAGACAGGACGGTGCCAGTCTCAAGCGCGAGCCTGTAAGACTGGCGGCGGAGGGTGGTGGATTCATACGGTTGACGCCGTACACAACATCTGCTTCGGCGGCAAGGACGGCTGCGCTCCAGCACATCGCCTGGCAAGCCGTCACCCGTCCCTCAACGGCGTCAAGCTCGAGGGAAAGCCCTTCAGGGACACGGGCATCAAAGTCACCACATTATCGTGACTTTGATGCTCGTGTCTCGGTCCGGCTTCCCCTTGAGCTTGGCGCCGTTGAGGGACGGGTGACGGCTTGCCAGGCGATGTGCGGGAGCGCAGCCGTCCTTGCCGCCGGAGCAGTTGGTGTGTACGGTGTCAACTGTATGAATCCGCCACACTCCGCCGTCTGTCATATAGGCGTGCACTTGAGACTTAGCTCGGTCTGTCTGCTCGATCTGTCTGTCTTCCTCAATCTCTCTCTCTTTCTCTTCTCTCTCTCTTTCTCTCTTGTCATTGCCCGCCGTCTGTCTGTCTGCCTTTGTATTTGTCTCTCTCGTCCTATCCCTGTACATACGGGGCATATCATGTTCCTCTCTCACCCTGTCAGCCTTGACCATGTCCTTAACCTCTTCCAAAATTTCGGATGCGTTCACGCTGGAAAACGCCTCCATCTCTCGAAGAGGCACCTGAAGCATGGGGTACAAACGTATGGACATTTCGATTGGCGAGGAAGTGTGCGTGCGAGCGCTTTGATAGTTTACAAACTGGGAGACACACAGACGTTTCGATTGACGAAGAGTGTGCCTGAAAGCGCGTATGGGAGAGCGTCGAGAACTACAAACTCGAAGAGACACGGAAAATTTCGACTACCAAGAGTGAGCAGGACAACACGATAGTTCAGAAACTCGGAGATAACGGACCTTTCGATAACCGAAAGTGTGTACGGCAGCACGTCGATACTTTACACACCCAGCGACACACGGATCTTCCGATTGGCGAGGAAGCGTCTATGGGAGATTGTCGAAAAATTGCAAACTCGTGGGAAAACGTCGATAAATTTATCTTCACACCGAAGACACACGGACCTTTCGATTGGCGAGGAAGGGGATGTAGGCGTCCTCGGCGGGGCATAGCAGTGTCAGCGACCGGCCTGCGCGAAGCACGGCCAGAACCCCAACACAGATAGATACACACAGGCGTTCCATTGCTCAGCGCGGTCGATGCAAGTAATGATCACATACACAGACACACAGACGATGATGAATAGGAACCGGTACGATATTTATTGGGCCCTTGGCCTGCTGCGCTACTGCTGCAACAGCGTCCTCGCCCCGTAACTTCAATGACACAACCGGTACACGTTGGAGCCATACTAGACACGAACAACACGCGTGATAAAAAGGAGTCTCGATGGTGATGCTGATCAAGGTCTTGACCGACTGCGAAGGGGCTCGCACCACGAAGCGAAACGCGACCCAGCAGCACGTCCCACACACGCACCATGTGAACCAGGGGTCTAACAACATATCGTTAAACTTACTCAAGCACTACAAAGGTGAACCCCTTTTTTAGGGTAGATGGCCTGTTACCACGGAAGGCGTCCGCGTCAGTGGGACCAGTACGGATATTCCTTTCATTATCGATCAATTGAAGGTCGCACATTAGAAGGTTCTGAGTGAGCGGAGACCGGAACGGTTTGCTTAATATGACGACAACAACAAACAGACAACAACAACAACGATACACAACTAGGTGGAGCAAGGGGTTCGCGTTAGCCGAACTCTCAGGTGTAGCTTGCCGGGAGAAGCAACACACACGCATCACCGCCGCGTGCTACCACCACAGGGTAACTTTGAGGCTCTTGGCGACTTCAGGCATTTCCACAAACCACCGGAGGCTTCGCGGACAGCAAAAACACGAATACAAACATCGAAACAAGTGCCGCATAGTTGAAACGCATGATCGGGTATGTATTGTGTGCCATTGTTGGATTTGTTTTTTCCGTTTTTCCCCAACAAAAGTTGTCATATATACAACAATGAGACAATACATTGTCTCCCCCGTTCTTGACGTTGAGCGCAACATCTAGAGAGAACAAAACAAACAAAACATCGACGAAGGGTAACTTTTGAAAATTTGCACGGGGTGCGCGTCAAAAAAAAAGGGGGCTTACATCTCTCTAGATCTCTCCATTCTTGCCGGACAACCGGACAAGCACTCTAAATAGCACTCTCTGGGTGTGTTTACATCAAATTGGTTCAATAGCTCGTGTCCACGCCGCGCGACGAAACTAAAGAGACAACAGAACAAAACAAAAACACCAGAAAAAAAGGGGAAATAACAAGGAAACAAAAAGCAAGAGAGTAAAATATGACGACGAAGTAAGGAACAGAGCACAGGTAATGCCTTCGCTAGGAACCGCCTTCGCGAGAAATAAAGTTGTAGTAGCGAGGAAACAGAACAGGAAGGGGGGTACGCAGACCCAATCCCTAACCCCAACCGCAACCCAACTTCCCCGATTGCATTATTTATCCGAAATGTTTACTTAATCGGAACACCCTGCCAAGGCTACTGCTCCGCCAACAGTAAGGATTCATCGCTAATTCTGGATTCCTGTCGTTTCTATGAATAGACATGGATTAACTGCGAAACCACAACAGAAAATAAAAGCAGAGGAAAAGAACAGAAACGAAAAGGCAAGCACCTTTTTTCCCGGCTCTGGCCGTGCGCCCCACCCGGTGCACGAAGTAGCTAGGGTCTTGAGGCGGGTCGAACTGTACGATCCAGGCCACGTCGGGGATGTCGATCCCACGGGCGGCCACGTCTGTGCAAACCAGCAGTCCCCCCTCTTGGGATAGAAAGCGTTGGTACACCTATCAAAAACAAAGCGCGTCGAAGGTGGGGGCGGGGGAGGGCGTTTCAATGCCTTAGTTGTTAGACAGTTGACAACGCATCCTCAAGAAGAAGGAGCAGTGTTCGTGGGGAGGGGGAGGGGGGGGGGGGGTACCTAACATATAGGTGCATATTGTTCCAGGAGAAAAAATCGTGGGCTTCCCTTACGACACGCCCAGAGCGGTGGGGGCGGGGGGTCGTACTCATGTTGCGCATGCCGTAGCTGTCAGACCTTGACCACGCGTCCTCGAGAGGACACGTGGGGCCACAGGCCCGGTCACCGATGGCCAATCGATTCTTCCTACGTTAGGTCTTGTTACCCCTGTCCAAAGGGTACACATATAGGATCGATCAGATCCCTAGAGGTCGAGCTAGCTCTTCTTCGGGTCGTATGTTCCTTGCGATCGGTAGGACATCGGTGATCTGAGTGTGTTTATTCCGAGGTGATATGTGGGACATAAGTGAGCTAGCTCATGATCTACGTCATGTGTGATCCAGGCAGCCCTAGGTAGTCTACTGAATTTACAGACACGAACGGACACCGAGCAGCCTTAGGTAGCCTACTGAATTCACAGACACGTACGGACACCGAGCAGCCTTAGGTAGGCCTACCGAATTCACACACACGCACAGACACACGTGCCATCTTACCGCAGTTCTTCGCTTCTGAACCATCCTTCCGTGTAAGCTCTCCACGCGGAGCCCCAGCGCCTTGACGGCCGGCAGCTGGGACAGAGTCTTGCTGAAGAAGTCCACGCCGGCGCACGTTGAGAGGAAAACGATCGTCTTCTCTCCTTCCGGACGGGCCTTCAAAAAACAAAAAATCGAAAACATGTATGTGTTGTTATTTTGCGTGTGGAACGAAAGTGAGCGGGGCAAACGCGCGGGCACGTGTGTGTGTGCCATCATTGTTAGGATCGACCGCGCTAATGGGCCGACATACACCGAAAAGACGTCAGTCTCAGTGTTGCGCATGAAAAGCTCATAGGGCATGATCTGGAACCCCGCGAGGGGGCGTCATGGGGGAGGCTGAGCGCAGACAAAGACAGCAACAATAGAAACAGTTAGCCGTACGGGATACTTACCGCCAGCAGCAGCCCATCTAAATAACGAAGCAAAGGTCTTTTTCCCTCTTCACAGTCACCGCAGGGGGAGAGATGGAGCACTAGTCTACGCAGTTTTTGTAAGTACGCAAACATACTGGACTAAGAACGGAATCGGCTAAGTTGGGGATGTGGTTAGGGTCAGGGTCTGTGTGCCCCCTGGCTGGTCTACTTTCGCAAGAAACTCAACTTTCTTTGCGTAGGCAGTTCGTACTAAAACAAACAAATTATGCAAAAATATCGCGCTACGTGACCTTCCTGTTGTGTGACCCCGGCTGATTACACACGAACGGCGTGCACCATGGCGCCAGAAAAGACGGGACGAACGCACGCACACAATACCTTCAGGAAACCCACAAGCTGCGCTAGCTTTTCCTCCGGCTCGCACACAATGTAGAAGTTTTCCAGCGAAGAAGGCGTCGCCTGAGTTTTCTGGCCGAGGACCCCTCCTGCCCCTGCCTCTCCCGACTTCGATCTTACCGCTACAGAAACGGTTGCCGGGTTTCGGAGACCCGCCCGGGCTAAGGCCTTCGTCTCTCTGCAAGGGGAGATCGGAATGCAAGGGAAGGGGGGTTACGTGAAATCACGTGGAGAGTCCCTTTTCGGTTGTTGGCATGAGGACCGCCCCTCCACCCTTTGGGTATTTTTCGTCCAACCTCGAGTGCGATGAACGATGCCGATACAGACATCGAGACAACACAAACGACAACAACGACGACGACGACGATGACGATGACGACGGCGGCATGAACAACAACAGCGACTTCGGCGACAACAGCAAAAACAACAGCAATAACAACAACAAAAACAACAGCAACAACAACAGCAACAACAGTTAGCCCTGCGCCTGACCCCCCTTTTTTGGTGCATGCGCGTGGTCAGGCTGTTGGCTGAAAAACCACGAAAACAAAGTTTTTCCGCTTTTCCGGTTGGCGACGCCAAACCATATGTTGACTTGATATTTAACAGAGGGAGGGAATCCCGGAACACTCGATGCCACCAACGAGCTGGCTCTTGCGGTTCAGTACACGCCCGTGAACAGAGCATATCTACAGATTCATCGGACGGTTTTTTAATCGGCGGGTTAAAACCCATCAAACCCTAAAAAAATAAGTAATTTTCGGCATTTTCAACCTGCTGCCACGAACGTGTGCAACGTAAACGCAAATGGCGTCCGATGAAATCGTAGCTATCGTGTTCGCGGAGATGATACACAGACAAGCTAGAACCCGCTGCGCCATCATCTCTCAAAATGAATCCTAAGATCGGGTAGTTTTGGGTGAAGCACGGGTCAAAAACGTCCCCAGCCTGTCAAAGCAAAAAAAGAAGGTCGTGACCAAGCAACGACCAGCCGGCTCGGCAGCGACGGGCGGATCAAGGGCGCGGAGGCCCACGGCCGTCTACGGGGCAAGCTCCTAGGGAGCGAGCTCTGGAGGGAGCAATGCTAGGGGGGAGGGTGCGAGGGGGTGCTCTGTCTGGGGTTTGGGAGCGGAGGCGAAGCAGGCGATACGGTGCAAACAGCTCAAATTGTTGTGAAGGGATTTCGATTTTTTCGTGCGTTTTTTTTTTTGCCCATGACCTGACTTTTGGGCCGGCATTGCTTGACTACTTGACTACACCACGGCACTACACTGCATCTCTTGCTGCCGTTGCTGCGCCATCAGTAGCATTGGCTTCCCTGATTACCTCCCAGTGTCTCTCCAACCCCTTGAGGGCGCGGCAAGGGCGGCGGCGGCAGTTTCTTCGTTGTACCATGTTGTAAAAAACAGGGACCGGCTGCTTTTTTTCTGGTCGGTGTTTGTTTTTCGTCTCATCATCTCCAAAATTTGCACAGACGCAACGGCCCTGCCACCGGCGCTACTGCAGCTGTTGCTACCGCTCCTGCACCATCAGTAGCAGTGCCTTTCTTACTTTCCTTGCAATGTCTGATGAGCCCCATAGACGGGCAGCGACGGGCTTGACTGCTGCAAATCCCTTTGGACGTGTATTGACTTCGATGAGATCGCTGCCTCTTCCGTGTGTGTGTGGGACGCGTTGTTGAACTGACTTTTGGGCGACATTGCATGACTCCACCACCGGCGCTACACTACAGCTCTTCCTGCCGTTGCTGTGCCATCAGTAGCAGTGGCCCCCCTGCTTTCCTCGCAGTGTCTCTTCAACCCCATGGAGGGGCCGGAAGCGTGGCGGCGGCAACTGTTATACCATGTTGTGAAAATCAGACCTACCTGCTATCTCTCATCGGTGTATTTTTTTCCGCCTATCCGCTCATCTCTGGAATTTGTGCCCGGGCGCAACGGCTCTGCCGCCGGCGCTATTGCAGCTTTTTCGACCGTTCCTGCGGCACGAGTAGCGGTGACTGTCCTGCTCTCTACGCTATGTCCCTGTGGCCCCAAAGCCGCGTGGGAACGGGGGCGGCTACAGCAATCCCTTTTCGCTGTCAACTAAAAAAAAAAAAGACACAACAGCCAATTGTGCGGTCATTTCGGCTGTATAACTGACGTGGCTGCCAAAAATGTGGGGATTGATTGGCCACGAAATGATAGTTTCAAAAGAATGGGCTGTTCGAAGGAAGCTTCGTGTGACAGAATTTGGGCCAAACAACAGGGTCAGACGCAGGGCTAACAGTCACAGCAACACCTACCGCGTCTGCGTGGCGGAGAAGAGGCCAGTCCTGCGCTGCTTGGGCAGCAGGGAAAAGATGGAGTTGAGGGTACCGGCGAAGCCCATGTCGAGGAGAGTGTCGGCCTCATCCAGAACAAGTGCTTCCAGTTCTGATTCGTGCGGGATAATGCGGGCGAATATTGATACACATAGCGGGAAATAAGGACAAGGGTGTCGGCCTCATCCATATAAAGAGGGCTTCCAGTTTTGATTTGTGCGGGATAATGCGGGCAAATATTGATACACATGGAGCGGGAAATTTGGACAAGGGTGTCGGCCTCGTGCGCTTCCAGTTCTGATTCGTGGGGGCAAATGCAGCAAGATTACTACACATGGAGTGGGGGATTAGGACAAGGGTGTCGGCCTCATATACAGAATGAAGGCTTCAGCTCTGATTCGTGCGGGACGCGGGTAAATGCGGCAAGATCAAACACATGGAGCGGGGAAATAGGACAAGGGAGTCGGCCTCGTGCGCTTCCAGCGCTCTGATTCGTGCGGGAAAATGTGGCAAGATAACACACGTGGAGCGGGCAATTAGGACAAGGGTGGCGGTGAAGTGACAGAGTTACCTTGCGTGTGACCGTGCGATCAAGATACCTCGGAATCGGATAGCGACGTTCAGCAAGGCAGGCAAGGGGGTGCGCTAGTGAACACGCCAAAGTGGGTTGACTCAGGGTAAGGGTAACCGGTTGTGGCTGTGTGTTTAAAGCCCGAGACCGAAGCAGTAGTATCCAGGGGTCCTGAACATACTCTTCCTCTTTCTTGTTCCTTCACGTGTTAGCTCGTGGTGAGGGCAGCGTTGCGACGTTGGAGCTGCGATATATCCCAACGAAGCACACAATATCGACGAAAGCAAGAACATCGACCGAGAGCCTCCCAAGTGCAAAGAAGCAAAATCTTGCGACCAGCGCGCACACTCTACAGCAGCCGAAACGCAACGCGTAATCATCTTGTTTGTAAGGATGCACAAGTGGTCCCTCCGGAGTGGGCTCACGAGAGCACAGTGTCACAAAGGGGTGATGCCAGCTGAACATGCAGCAGGACAAACCCCAGCTGACTGCCAGCCGCGGTTTGACGTTTCCCAAGCTCAGTCCAGCTGACGAGGTTTCGACTCGAACAGCCCAGCGAACCTCAACGAACAACTTACCAAAGCTGTTTACAGTCTTACAGTACCGCACCGCGAGTGTCGAATACGTTGTAGTTGTTGAGCATGTCCTCGACTCGGCCGGGCGTCCCCACCAAGATGCTTGCCCCGCCCTTCCGGAAGGCAGCCAAGCATTCCTCCACGCTCGTGCCACCAACGAGCAGCAGCGGTTTCGCCTCGTCCAACGCCTCCGAAAACTTGGAGACCACCCCGAAAATCTGGTTCGCGAGCTCCCTAAGAACATCAGATGTGGCGAGTGTGTGTGTATGGTCTGTCATGGCATGTCTGGTGTGTGTATGGTTACTCTTTCTGCGTGTACCGTAAGGTTGCAAGTCAGCGAACAGGGACAGGGGTGCGAACGATTTTCAAAGCGTGATTTATCCACAACCAAGAGGCTCCACTGTCGAAGGGGGCGGTTTTGGAAGCATCTCATCGAGAGCTTTCCTGAGAACTATCAGTTGGCGCTCGCGCGTGTTGCTCTCTGAGGCTCCCAATTTTATTTCGGGGTCGCCGTTTAAACCGATTTCTGTCGTTCTTTCGGCTCCCGGACGGGAAGATTTTACTCAGCGCGTCCCGCGAGCATCTCACCACGTAGCGCGCTGTGTGACGAGCTACCCGCGCTGGACGGCCTACATTAATTGTTCCGGGAATCAAGCATATTTTTGTTCTCCATGGGTTCACTTCGCGGCATGACGTCATCATCAGCAGGTCAGCATAAAGCGACGCGGAGGCGTGCAACCCACAACTTATAGCATATGGCGGCATGTCTCTACCTCGCTCACAACTCGCAGCAGTCAGTCTCTACCTCCCACAACTCTCAGACTTTCTTTCGTTGTTCTGCGGGAAGAAGGAACGCAGCGCGCCCCACGCGTACATAGCGCGCCCTGCGGTGCAGCACTGCTGTGTGCCTTGAGAGCTACCCGCACGGACACCTTCTTCGTTCCCTCGGAGTAGATACGAAGCAGTTCTTTCTTTCTGTCTCTTCGGTGTGTTCAGTAAATACATGCACCTCGGAACAACGTGGGTACCAGCAGGTAAACCCCGCCCTGCATAGAGCATAAACACGCTCCTCACATGTGTCTACCTTGTGTACACTTACGCGATGCTACACAAGCACATCATGAAGCCATGTGTGGTGTGCTTTGTGCTACTGCTGTTATGCTGCTGCTGTAGCCCCCCCACAGCAATAGCATCAGCCAAAGTTTCACACACAAGAGACAGTTATGGCACACGCACATGCAGAGTCGCCATCTCGTGTTGATGTGTGCCCCGGGATTCAACGCTGCAATTCAACCATTGGCAGCACCTTGCCGAAAATGACCACAAGTTTCAGCCGTGACGCCGCTATTGTAAATCTCCAACTGCGAGCCTGTGCGAACCTGCATCGATGTTTATTTTCGATGTTGACGTGTATGTATGTCAACCTACTGCTTTACCGCACTCTATATATAATCCTCGATCTACGCATACTTACACCACCTTGCCGATGTTGTTGCCAACAAAACTTCAAAATACTTCCTTTTCGTTGCCTACGGGTATTACGCGAAGACCGTCCCCCCGTTTCGGAGGCGGGGCAAGAACACATCGGCCTGGGTATTCTCCTTAAAGAACATATCAATCCCGTCAAGTCGCCTTGCCGACGTTGTTGAGGAGAAATATCCAGGTCTATGTGTGCTTCCCCCACTACCGTAGCGGGGGGGCGGTCTTCGCGCGATACCCGTAAGCAAAAAAAAGGAAGTATTTGAAGTTCTGGACAATATTGGCACGTGATGTAGACTTCATTTTGTCGTTGATGTCCACGACTTGATCAAATACCCGGACAAGCACTGCAATGAAATCCGTGGGTCCCTCGCACGCGCGTGATATACATAGGAAGGCTGTGCAACGAAAATGTGCACCCCCCCCTTCTGTGACTGAGCTGGGAAAAATACAAGGGAGGTACAGTACGGGGAGATGTTTGAGGCATGGAATAGATAGGAGAGGACGGTAGCTGTAATGGGGAGTAGAAAGTGGTTTGAAAAGGCGGGAAGGGATATCGTTAGGATAGACAGACTAGGGAATACATTTTTGAGCCACCTTTGGCGAAGTGGGAAGGAACGATTGGCCATCGGTGATCGGTCCTGTGGGAACAACGCTCCGTCCTTACGAGGACGCGCGGTCAATGGCCTAAAGCTACGGCATGCAAAATAGAAGAG